TAGTTTTACTCTCTTATGGTCATGCATGTTAATTAATAGTAGCAAATTATTCTGTTACTGAGATGTTTATCTCACCCCATAGTTATATTTTACAGGTGAGGGCTCCGGTAGGGGCAAGGAGAAGGAAGGGGAAATTGAAGAGTGAAGAGCATTGTAGTATAGCTCTTCCCCTTTTCTCTTTTGGGTTTGTAATGAATATTGCTATTATATAATGCCAACTTAAGAACATGACATTATTTTATGATATCACTTATATGAATTTGTGATAAGTGTGCATATGTTGGTTTAAGGATGATGTTGTGGATTAAATGTATGTGCTTAGCCAAGTTACAATTACAAATGAAGAATTTGAAGTGATTTGTGTGCCAAAATGACCAATTGACATGTGTGTTAAAATTTAATCCACCCCTTAGTATTATTGTCAAATGAGAGTTTTGTGGTCATTTTGAATGTGATTGTTTACTTGTGTGATGTGAATAAATTGTCATGTTATATGTGGTCCATTTGAGGTGGTCAAGGTGCCTCTGGGGCTAATGGCATTTGGTAGTGTAAGTTGGACACCTTTGTGTGTGTTTTAAGGTGAAAGCAAACCATTTGAGTTTGGGTGTCCATCTTTAAAATGAATGATTGTTTGAGTGGATACTTGAATTGTCCAAATCGGATGTCAGATGGCGAAATGACACACTCTAAAATTTAGAGAGCTGTCATGACAACAATTTGCTATCATGATAGTAGGTGCGCGTCACGGCGCAATTGGCCTTCGAGGGACTCGTCCCTTTATGCCACCCGCCACAGCAGATGGGCCAAATTTTTAAAAGAATAGTTGGTTTCAGCTTGTTTTAAAGGCTATTTGATTTCCATGCTTCTATATTTGTTCTTAATTGATTTTTAACCATAGTTTGAGCTTAAACACTATTTTAAAAAATAGGTTTTCTTAGGATCCCATTATTTTAACTTATTATCTTTTAAAACCCTTGGGTTGTAATAACCTTTACTTGGGATATTATCTAATCCTGGTTATCACACAGCATGTAAGAATGTTGTCCTAGTAATGTCAAGGCGGACATTACATCAATTAGCTACTAAAAACTTGAATCAAAACCCATTTCTCTTGATTATGCTCAGGACTTTGCTTCACCATTTGCTTAAACCTTTCCTAAGCTTCATACAAATGTTCACCAAACTGTTGATTAAAATTGAGAATGTTGGCTTTAGAATCGACCATCTTGTTGTGTAGGAAAAATCTAGGTCTAAACTTGCTTTCCATTTCCTCCCATGATGAGACACAACCCTCATCTAAATTGTTGATCCAATCCTTAGCTTTTCCTTATAGAGAGTAAGGGAAGAGGCGAAGACGAATGACATCCTGAGGAACTCCATTTTGCTTGAATGAGTCACATATCTCAAGAAAGTTCACCAAATGTCTATTAGGATCCTCATCTTGATTTCCCACAAATTTCCCTTTCATCTCAATTATCTTAAGCATGGTTTGCTTAATCTCAAAGTTGTTCGCTTGAAAGTCAAGCACTTTGATCCCAGATTAGTATCCTTTAGCTTTTCTACCTAATACATCAGAAACACATAGCCTATCATTCTCATCCTCAGCCATCTCTTCGTTTGTAAATTGTTCACCGATCGGAGGTTAAGTTTGAGGTGAAATAGCTTCCAAGATTTTTTTAAGACTCCTTGTTCTCATAGGTTTTTTTTTTATCTAGCTCTACGTGGCATGTAAAATAGTCCTGCAAAAACAAGACAAGATCAAGGATCTAATTGAACATACAAGAAAAAATAATGACAAAATAAATGCTCAAACTAAAATTACTTAAGGTCCTATATTTCTAATCACCAATTGCCTAACAGTGCCAAAAACTTGATGCACACTAATATGTTTTACTGCAAGTGTATGGTTCGTAATTAGTAAGTGGTAAATCAAGGTTGATCCCATAAGGAATCAAATTAATTGGTAATTAAGCAATAAAATCTCCATTTTCATTTAAGTTGAGCAAAGTAAGATATGAATTTGATTTTTGCAAAATAAGGATTGAAATTAGAAAAATACACTAAAATTAAAATTTCAACAACCACAAACAATCAAGGCAACTTAGGGTGGCTAATCCCTTCTTCAATTCATAAAGCATGTAATTACCCAATTAAATTTACTTAATATTAATTTGCTAATTTAAAGTATTAATAGGAATAATTTTCTTTCGATTAATTGCACCCCTCTCTTGAATTAATATGCTATTCCTAATACAATTATCCAAGAGGCAAAAATGTATAAATCCACTCTAATGTGATTATATAGGTCTAATAGATATATTTCTATCCTATTGGCAAATTAGAATAAATTCTAATCTCACATTTCTCAATCTAATGGTTTAATTTAGATTTTTTCTCTTCCAAAGCAAAATCTAAACCCTCAAATTCACACTCAATGGTGATCAAGCATTAAGTAGACAAATAAGCACAAGATTAAGTAAACAAAACTAATATTAACCTCAAATAAATGGTTCAAACATGCTTTAATCCAAGAATCAGTTTGTAGTTGCATTAAATTAAGAGAAAATTATCCACACATGGCTTCAATGACAACAAAATCAGCAATATATACAGTAAAGTAAAGAGAAGAAGGAGAAGAAAAGCTTAATCAGAGTAATCTTGAGTGAAACCCTTGATTTTTCACTAAATCCAAGCTTCTCCAACCCTTCATCGGCTTTTTTCCCTCTTCCTAGACGTTCTACAACTACTGGAGGTAAAGAATGCACAAAAATGAGGTGCCCAAGTCCTAAAAATTTGCTAAGAATTAAAACTGTGCATTTTACTAAAAGCATGTCTTGCTGCAACAAAACGCACTTTCATTGCAGCAAACATGACTTGTTCAAATTTTCTTTTTAGATTTAATTTTTTGACTTGGATTCCAAAATTTTCTTCTTTGGACCCCTAAATTGGGCCTCCCTACATGCATAAAATTTAGAATTAATGCTAGAATTAATCCACTAACTTCTAATACATTTTCAAGCTCATTTTCACACACATTCATCCACTTAATTATATTTTTACTAATAAAATTTAAATAAATGACTTTCAATTATATAAAAAACATCAATAAATTTAATAAAATATTAAAAGTCATCAACCACTCCTTTCCATTATATAAATTCGAGCATGTCTTAATATTTTTTTAATCTTATTTATAAGTCATTTATAATATAGTAGTGGTTTTAGATTTGAAGGTGTGAAGGTTCACTGGTTTCAAATCCCTCCGTCATCGGCTCAACTTGAATGCGGCTTGCAAACCCTCTTCTCTTTTACAGATCCAAGTCCAAAGGTCCTCTTCCATGCGAGTTCGAATGTCCTCCTCCACTCGGAAATTGTTACCGAGTTCTAACGTTGTCGTCCTCCTCCTCTTGTCAGACCGTCCTTTTTTTTTTTTTTGTTCCAATGATTCGTGCTTCAATTCATATTTAGATTTAGATTCAGTTTAGATTTTGTGTTTCCTGATGCATTTTATTTGATTTTATGATTGTTGTTGATTGGTTTATGAACGGTTTGTAATCTATTGATTCATTCATGATTTTCATTTAATTCATCTAGGTTGAGAGTATAATTTTCTGACTAAAATGTACAGGTATAAGATCGAGAAGAAGCAGAAAGTAGTCCCTGAGTAGAATGCTGCTATCAACGAAGAAGACAAAGTTGGCCAAGTCGATGGTCCTCCATTGCAGAAGGTTGAGCTGGGCGGATTCTTTTGGGCAATACAGTAATTTTACAAAATAAATTATGTTAGAAAAGGCCATAAAAATTTCAAAATAATTACCCCAATTTACGGTACTCCATCCTCCCTTTTTATTGCTAGAGAAACTATAAATTTTGGTTTGTATTTTTTTATAAGTAAAATTATCTATTTTAATAAGCATTTATATATATTTTTTAAATTATCTCTCATAATTTCTATTAACAAAAAACAATTAATGCATGATTTTATTAATTAATACAGAGTATTTTAGTTTAATTTTTTATTTTCAGACATAATTATTATAATTAACTAATTTTATTAAATTGTGTAATACAATTTTGTTCTCTTATATATAAAAATAAAAGGAGTACTTCTTTTTTATTTGCATATTTTGGAGGAATTTTTATATCATTTTCCCTATTTATTTTCTTGCTCCTTTCACACTTTTTTTTTTAAATTAGCATTTAGCTGTATAATTTAGGGCTTGTTTTGTTTTCATCTCATTTTTAGCTTATAAAAATTATTTTGTAAACTACTTTTTAAAAATTATATTTTAAAACAAACTAAAATGAAAATTTATTTGATCATGTTAATTTGAAAACAATTTTAGAGTTAAAACAATTGTCAATAATGGTGATTGTGAGTGGGTAATCATGATGACCTATTTGAGTGGTTGATCATAAACAAAATTAATTTATAATTATTAAATGTAATGTGTTTTAAAAGTTAAACCATTCTTCAACTAGAATTAAAAAAAAATGATTTCACTTATCAATCATTCCCTATTTGTCAACCATGACTTTTTTTTCAAAGTATCCCTACAGTTCACAACTATGGAATTACTCTCTCAAAAAATCTTTGTACCATTTAAGAGTTGTCCTCTCCCAAATAACACATACATACATACATACATACATATATACACACACATTTTCAAGAATTAAAATTTAGAATTAGACTAATAGTTAAAAGATTCAAACCATTATTATCAATGCTACAGTTGCTCAGCGTCAACCATGATTCTTTATTCCTCCATACAGCTCTCTTTTTCATTTTATCAAACTAAACCATGTAAATAGCTCTATGGCCATTCTTAGCATATAAGAAACTCTTTTATTTTTCCCCTTTTTGGTGCAACTAAGAAACTAACACGAGAGAAGTAGCTCTTATTGTAATTGTTAAATCATTAAAAATTATATCTTAATTATAATAAATAGAAAATTAAATCCCAGGTCAAACATTTCTAAAAAAAGGGCACGTTGCATAGAAAAGAATTGTATATTATAGATCATTATACAACACTAACAACGTACAAGTCAACAACAATAAATCTATGAAAAATTAAAAACTATAAACTAAAACAATCTAGTTTGCATTACAATCATTCTTTATTTCTTCAAGAAATAAACCAAACACGACCAAATGAAGATGATACATATATCTCTCGTAAATAATATGGCTCCTCAGAAGCAAGCGTCCAAAACACAACAGCAACACAATGCCGCACAGCTGCATCAAATTGGTCAAACCACTAGCCAATTAGTCCTACCTATGTTACCAACTAAATCAATTTTAGTGGGCAATTGAAAAGTAATCCAACGACAAAAAAAAAAAAAAAAAAAACACACAAAGGTCAATATCCAATTGCTCCAATGGGGCCCACAATTTAAAAGAAGGGATAATGATGTTGATGTCTCAGGAGATCTGGCGAATGAATAATTAGTTACATACCGGAAAAAAGATTTTAGAAAATTGAAACTATATTTTGAAATTTAAATGTTTTGTCCATAATTGATACTGCTCCTAAACTAACAGTTTTTGTATCATCATTTTTCAGAAAACTTTGTCCATAAGTGATACACACCCTCTTTCTCATTGCTATTATAAAATGTCTTTAACTAATTCATTCAGATTAAGATGTGACTTATTAATTTTATTTAAAAATAAAATAAATTTTTAATTTTATTTCTATTTAAATAAAATTTTAATTTATATTGAGTTCTCTCTTATAGTTTGTTTTTGCTAGAATCCTCTTTTATAATTAACGAATTTAAATACAGGTGATATTAAAAAAATATAATTAATATATCATCAATTATATTAAAGACTAACTAATTCTTTTTAAAAGTACCTTATAATAAAGACCACAAAAAGTCCCATATCCAACATATTTCACTAAAATTAAATTAAAATTAAAATTTTATAAATCATGTCTTAAAATTTAATAAACTTTCACATTTATCCACAATGAGAACAATCGAAATTATTTTTAGTAATATTTCCTAGCATTTAACATGGACCTGACATAAAAAATAATGAAATGTTTTATAAATAGAAGATTAATATTAATTTTCTTTCTTTGCCCTAACCAAAGAGAATGTACACACAGAACCTAATAATTCGAGGCAAGCTTGACAGACCAACTAGAACCTCCCCGAAAAAAGTTAGAATTAGGCTTTCGCTATATAGATTTTTTTAATAGAGTAGGATATTTTAAACTCGATCCAAATAAACCTGAACATTAAAATTTTTGATTTTATATGTATATAGAGTTGATTTTGGCCAAGCTCGACGGGCCAGCCGCCAAAAAAAATTAAGACCTGGTTTAATTATATAGACTTTTTTAATATGATAATATACTCCAAATTCGATTCGAATAAGTCTGACTTACTCTGAAAGAGAGAGAGATGGTTTTAAACTCGATTCAAATAAGTCTGAATATTGAAATATTTAGTTTTATATATATATAGAGTTAATTTTGGACAAGCTCGATAGGCCAGTCCAAATCTGACTAAAAAAAATTAAGACCTAATTTAATTATATAAATTTTTTTAATATAATAATATACTCCCAACTCGATTAGAGAGAGAGAGAGATGGTACCATCCTTTCCAAAAACCATCACCCCTGGACTTGGTCTCGTAAGAAGCTGATTGGGGGTTCGGTGAAGTGACGTTAGTGGTGGGATAACCAACTGGTGGAGGAATCATTGTTGATGCATTTCTTGAAGTTGCTTTAGGATATGCTGTTCATTTAAAAAAAAAATCAAACAAATTAATAATTAAATTAATCTTCTTGTCAATTATAGCTACCTAGGGATATCTGACGTGTCATGTCATTAATTTGAGCAAGAACTGGATAAGTACTTATAAAAAAAAAATCCACCTTTCATAATTTGATTTGAAATAAATAATTTAAATATATAAAAGTTTAAGCATCTAATTTTTTTTTAAATCCATCTTAAAAATATAGGTTGACCATTGAAAAATTCATTACATAAAAATTAAAATACTAGCATAATTCTTTTAAAATGAAATCAACATCAAATTATATGATAAAATTAATTATAAAAAAACTGGAAGAAAAGTTTGGAAAAAATGCAACTCTGATAGTCATGATCAAGTTATTTAAATTATGAGAGATAAATAAACTATATATATTGCTTTGATCTAAAGGTATACTCTGCTTATATATGACCCCGCATGGAGAAAAATATGGCCAATAATTCTCTCTTTTTTTTTCTCACTTTAATAACAGATAGATTGATCAAAGCAAAACAATTAATTTATTTCCAGAAAGTCCTTATAACATACAGTCTCTTTATTCAAAAATATAAAATATTTTTTTAAGAGTTAAATGTTAAAAAATATAAAGTATTTTTAATCTTTTAAAATGTAATCTTTGTTTTTTTTCAAAAATAATTCTATTAATAATAACTTTATATTTATTATAAGGTATTTAATGTGAGTAAATATGAAAAGATAGGGTTAGTTAAAAAATAGAAGTTACTAAAAAATGAGATTTGATTAAAAATATATTATATTTTTAAACGAAAGAATATTCGATTATCTATGTTGATCATGGTTGATCTCAAATTCAGAAATTAATTGCTCCGTTGATTTTCTTCATATTTTCTTACCACACAGGATATGAAAAATTCTCAATTTTGATTAAAGTAAAGTCGCTGATCAATCATAAACATTCATAAAAACAAGAGTAAAATTTTAGTACTAAAATCAAATTTAATTAATTACCTGTTGGAATACCAGAACTCATGGTTGAAATATAACTAAATCAAGCTCTTCTGCAGCCAACTTAAGAACTGAGTTTGAAGCAGACGATGACGACCCAGAAGAAATATAAAGATCAAACGAAACGTCGATGCTTATTACAAGAAACTAAACGAACAAGAAGATCAGAAGAAGAAGAAAGATTCAATATGAGGTTGGAAGAAAACGAAGACGGCGATGATATATTTATAGAGATCTTCACAGCTTGTTTCTTGGAAAGAAACGCACGTCATTTATGAATCAGAATGGAAGACGATGGCTGCAACGCCTGAGCATCTTACAATAAAATATAACAAATGATGGAGAAGGAGAAGGCATACACGAATCTTCGATCGCCCCCACATAAATATGATTTCTTACTCCCTTCAATTAAAAATATAAAATATTTTTAATTAAATTTTATTTTTAATAGAATAATTATGTATTTTCAAACTAACTCTATCTTTTTATATTTATTCTTATTAAACACTCTACAATAAATATAAATATAAAGTCAACATCAATAAAAACACTTAAAAAAAAAGACAATAATTATACCTCATAAGATTAAAAATACCTTACATTTTTCATTCAACTCCTCAAAAAATACCTTACAATTTTTAACGGAGGGAGTATCTTTTTTTTTCGTTTAATAATCTAATTTTCTTTGCTCAAAAAAAAATAATCTAATTTTCAGTTTTTTAATAGAAAATAACAAGAAAATTATTGATAAAATTTTTTTATCTTTTCTTATAATTTTTTTATTCACGGTGAGTAATTTTGGTTCATTTACAATAATTTTTTGATCTCTTTTTTACAATTTTAATGTCCTTGTTTATTATTTTTTCTATAAACTAATAATTAAAGTTAGTTTTTACCAATTATAAATATTAAATTATATAATTTTTAAATTAAAAAAAACATCATATTAAAAATAATTTTGAAATTAAACCATACTGATCAGTTGAACATTTGAACCTGTTTGACAGGAAACTAGTAAATAAATTGCACCATTTTTTAAAACGGTGGCCAATTTGTTTTTTTATTAAAAATAAAAAACTATACCTCGAGCCCACAACTCATACGAATTGTCACACAAAATCACTTGTCGTCCCTCCTTTCCATTATAGAGATACACAAGCTGCACTTTATATAAACGCAGATTAGCTAGCCAATCCTTCCAACAAGTCATCTTTTTTCCTCCTCATCTTTGTTCACTTTTTTGGTTATTTCCTTATATTTATTTTTTCATATCTTTTTTATGATTTCATTTTATCCCCATCATAACATCTCTTCAAAAAAAAAACATCTCTTTTATCTCCATTCTGCTAGCTATTTATCTATATTTTGTTTTATATGATATCATTTTAATTTGGTTATAATTTTCTTCTAAAAATTGTTTAATGATCAACCATAAAAATAAGCATGTGCCCCTTTTATTTTTTTAATTAATTTTTTGGACTTATTTCTTTATATGTAAACATCTTTTTCATTTATACTCATCCAAATATTTATTTACATATCTTTTTAAACAAATTTAGTTCTTGTTTCCTTTAAAAAAATATGTGATCACCATCTCAAAAAAATCAACAATAATTTTGATATTAAAAAAATAAAAATTAATTTATACTTTCCTAAAATATTTAAATAAATTAATTTAATTATATTCGGTCTAACCCTTATCTGACTATTAAACCATGAATCAATCCATCAACTAGTTCAATGACTGGTCTAGTTCTCATAACATTGTTTAGACCTATAATTTAAATGTCAATTTTCTCTTTTACTCTTTAAATATGGACAAAACAATCTCAATTGTTATGTTGGCATATTAAATTTAATTTTTTAAAATAATAATGATTGGTATCAAAAATAATTATTTAAAATTGATTATGGTGTCTAGGTTACATGGTTAAAAAATACTTTATAAAATTAAGAGATCAAATTAAAAATTTTATAAAGTTAGACTATTAAAGGTAGATTTTACCCTTTTTTTCAATGGAATGAATAGTTGAAAACTGAATTCATATTTGTAAATTATTTATTCAACTTTTATTTCTCTAGAAAAATTACATTATAATTATCCTACAAAAGAAAAGGTTGCAATTGTCTATATTCCATGCCATTTAACATACAAAACAAGTGGCAATAAAGATAAAATTTAAATGAAAACAATTTTGAGATGAAAAATATTCTTTATATTTAAATAACAAAAAAATGAAAATGTCACATATGATCAAGTAATGATATTCAAATTATAATAAATATTTTGTGCAATTATTTACTCAATAAAAATATCTGTTCAATACTTTAAAACATGCAGCCAATGTAATTTTCATGATTTATCGTCAGACATACATACATATTGCAAATATTGCATTTGCAGTTTTAAATATAAGATGGATATTGTCTACACCATGTGAACACAATATAATAAAAACTTTATAAAGTTAAAAAGTTAAAAAAGAAAAGAAAAGATGAGTAATAATACAAATGCGCGAATCTTCGATCTGTCCCAGTTAAATCTGAGATTGGATCTCAATAGTAAAGTATTATCCTATTTATTATTTCCTAGCAACTTGTTTTTGTCCAAAAGATATCCAAAAATTACGTTATGTTTTTTTATTCAATACCAGACTGTTTGGCAGATAAAAATAAAAAATTGTACTTAAATTTTAAAAAAAATGTTGATTTTATATTTACAGAATAAATCTCTTGGTCAATGCATTTAAATAAGAATAAAGAATAATAACTATAATGACCTTTATTTGAATAAAGATAACAACAATTTAAAAATCTTATAAGAACTTCGCCGTTAAGAATAATTAAAATTTTAATTATTTTGAAAATAATTTCTATTAAATTTAGATATTCAGATTCAATTTTTTCAAAGGAATTTAAATTAAAGTAATTAGCCTTATAAGCGTAAATTTACTTTTTTACCAGCAGTCTATTTAAACTTAACCACTACATTTTAGACAATGGACAAACATTTTGAATGAAAAAACTTACTCACTTCATTTAAAAATATAAAATATTTTTAATTTAATCTCACCTCTTAATAAAATAATTACTTACTTTCAAACAAACTCTATCTTTTCATATTTATTTATATTAAACACCCTATAATAAATATAAAGTCATTATTAATAAGAACACTTTTAAAAAAATAATAATTACACCTCAAAAAATTAAAAATATTTTATATTTTTAAATATCTAATACATTAAAATGAAAGGAATATTTTTGTATATTTTTTTTGTCGGTTTTTTATATATGTATTTGGAATGTTGGATGCGTTCTAAAACTAAAATATGCGTAAATTGAAGACGTGTTTTTGACTTTTTGTTTGCTTTTTTTATGGTGCCGTGTTGATTTATGACTCTAGGAAACTGGGCTGGTCTGGCCCGGCTTTTTAGGCTACCTAATCCACGTCGTCATATATTGGACGCGGGGAACTCATTAAGTCATTATTATTTATTTCTTTTAGACTTGTTTTATTTAATAAAACGACTAAAATGCGGAAATACAGTTGTCTAAACGATTAAGCAACAATAATTAATAAAATAATATTCTTTTTATTATAAACAATAATAACTACTCCCTCCATTTAAAAATATAAGACATTTTTAATTAAATTTGACTCCTAATAAAATAATTATTTACTTTTTAACTAACCCTATATTTTCATATTTACCTTTATTAAATACCCTATAATAAATATAAATTTATTATCACTATGGTCACTTTTAAAAAAAATCAATAATTACACCTCAAAAGATTAAAAATATTTATATTTTTTAATATCAAACTTATAAAAAAATACCTTATATTTTTAAACAGAAAAAATAATATTAAATAATATTCTTCGGAAAATAGTCTCCGTTGTTCACTGTTTAGGTCGGCAGGACAGCTAATTTTGTTGAATACGTTGTTGGTGTTTCTAATATATAGGAGAATTTAATACTTTTTTTCTAACTAAGTAAGAAAATTAATCAATATAAAAATATTTCAAATGAAACTTTTTTTTTTTGGCCAAAATTTCAAATGAAACTTAACTTGAACTTCCACCTTCGATACTACAAAAACATTGTTTTATGTTTTTATATATAGGGAAATAATAACAAAATCTTCTAAATTATGTAAATGAGAAATTGATCACTCAAAAATATCATAATTTCACTGAAACTCCTAAGAACTTATATGTTAATATATGTTAAAGTGACAAGACTATTTACCCTTATTGAAAATGACAAACTCCATTAACAGCTTTGGCTTAAATAATAATAATTTTTATTTTATGAATAATAAGAGTTGAATAAAAAATTATAACTTGTCAGGTGTCATTTTTATTATTGAAAAACAGTTCTCAAAATAATAAGCTCCAGTCACAATTTTTGTTAAGAAATAATAACTTTAATTTAAATAATCACAAAAATTAAACAAGAAATCACAATTTATTAATAAAGATAAAATAGCCTTTTCAATTTAAAATTTATTGACATAGAATCTCCTAAAAACTTCAATAGAATTATGACATTTTGAGAGATCATGTTATCATTTATATAGTTTTAGGAGGATTTTATTGTCATTTTTTCTTATATATATTGATATGTTTGGATTATTTTTATGTGTTTTCAATTCATCATTAGCCAAAGTATACTTTTAGACCTTTAATTTTACACAAACTTTCATTTGGTCCTTTAGTTTTTTTTTTTGACCAAAGGTTCTTTAATTTTATAAATGTTTTTTAGTTATTTAATCCTAACACCATTTGTTTCATCACAAAAAATTTTTATATTAAATTTTTAAATATTAATAAAATATTCTCAATTATTAACATATTAAGTTTAGTTTTTAAATAACAATGTTTGGAACAAAAATAATCATTTAAAACTAATGGCATTATGGTTAAAGAATTGAAAAGATATTTTATAAAATTAATGAATTGAATTAAGATCTTTTTAAGTTAGAAGACCAAAAATAAATTTTAGCCTTCATCCTCTTGTTTGTAATGTATTTCTAGTTTGAGTAATATATAGAGATATATATATATATATATATTGTCATTAATTGAATTATTAATCCATAATATTAGTCTTTATTATCTGCAAAGTATACTTCTATCATCATTGCTAAAAAAAAAAAAGTTAAGGGACAAAAATATCTTGAAAGTTTTTTAAAAGAGTACTAGATATTTTTACTTTTTAGTTAGAATAATATTGCCTTGAAACTTTTAAAAATGATGTAATTTCACTCCATCACTAACATTGTCTAACGTTTGGCCATTAATTTTGAAAGTAGTTTCCCTATTTATCTCAAGGATGAGCACCATATGCTCATCCATGAGATAAAATCTGAACCATTCAAATTTTAATATAGATGGTTCAAATTTTAAGTATTATTATAATTTTATATTATATTTTTTAAAATAAAAATTATAAAATAATTTTAATAAATTTTTTATTTTTAATATGATATAGATTTAATTTAGAGGGTCCAATTTAATATTAAAATTTTTATGATTGATGTATATTGATTATCTAGATGTACATTACATGGTTCAGATATTATCTAGATCATATTAAAAATAAAAAATTTTATTAAATTTTTTTATAATTTTTATAAATTTTTACATTAATAAATATAATACACAATTATCCTTGAAATCTAAACCATCCAAATTAAAATTTGGATGGTCCAGATCTCATCCTAAGGATAAACATGAAAATTGAACTCGTTAATTTTTATTTTGACAAGATGTTTTACACGTGTCAATCCCTCTTCTCTCCAAACTGTTGTTCTTCTTCCTTCCCTTTCCCTCTCTCTACCTCTCTCTCTCTGCATTTGACTCTCTCCCCTTTTGCTGTTATACCTTATGATGCATTATGAGACAACTCTGTGGAGGCAATTACACGGTTTGGTATCTTCCTGGTAGATGAATCCAACCACGCTAAAGGAACAATATCTGTTGCAGAGGTCTCGAGCTGGCTCCTAACTTTACTGACTCTCCCACTCAAAATGATGATAGAGCTTCAGTTAAGGAGCCAATAGATGAAGAGGGAGGTTAAAGAGGAAATGGAGACCTGTTGCTAGTGTTGGGGGCACACCATTTGAGAATGGTTATAACTTGAGAAAATATGGACAAAAACATGCATATACACACACATAAAAACTCAAACTTTCTTACAAGTGCAACGCACAGAGAGAGACGAAGAAGAAGAATGGCGGAATCAAAGGAAATGTGGTTTGTGTTTATAACACCAAGAACGTCTTCAGTTATGGGGACGCCAATAGTGTCATCTTTACTACGTGTCTTGTCTCCTCCTCCTCAATTTCACTCACTCCTCCAGGCAGCCTCATGAGGAAGGCATTGAGGTTCATTATTAGTTTGTTGATGCAAGAGCTGGGGACTAATAAGCTTGATGATGGCATTCATGTGGCAACTTTACACACGCGCTATGGCTATTGGTTCATCTTCATGAATCTATGGAACAAGGAGTTTATTACAATTGCCACCTTTAACTCATCTTTCCCACCATTAGTAATCATACCTTCATTCCCTTTTTCAATATCTCTCTCAGATTCTGAAATCTCAATATTTTTTGTTATGCAATCTTGTTGTGAAGGAATGACACGAGTGAATAGTCACTCTCATCTATCCTGTTTTGGTTTGAAAGATCTGTGTATATTTTATTATTTCTTATAATTGTTATTTAATATTAGAATCATGTAAAATTGCAAGAACCAATGACACATAATGGCTTTTGAACTCAAAACAATAAGAGCAGATGACTGTCATCTGTGGATGTGGAGAGAGTCAAATGTAGAGAGGGGGAGGGAGGGAGGAAGATGAATAGTGTAGAGAGGAAGAGGGGTTGACACAAGTAAAACTTTTGGTTAAAATAAAATGTCACGGTCAAACATTAGAGAGTGTCAACAGTGAGATGAAATTGTACTCTTTTTAAAAGTTTTAGGGCAATATTATTCCAACTAAAATGTAAGAATATCCAATATTTCTTTTAAAAAACTTTTAGGGTATTTTTTCCTTTTAACCAAAAAAAAAAGTCATACATTGATATAACCCATTTTTGAGTTTGTGTGATTTATATTATTACTATTGGCATTTTGAATTAAAATATATTTAATATATATCAAATGATGATGCGACATACTTATCATAGAGGTTCTTATTATAAGAAACTCATGCATGTTTGGTAATATACTTAATACATTTTGTCTAAAGTATTATGATTTTTCTACTAAATTATTCCTCACGAACAATCAAACTTCCTAACTAATTAAACAAACTCCACTAATAACTTTTAGGGGGAACAATTTTGAAATTTTACAAGAAATAATTAATTTCAACTACTTATTACCTTAAAATACATGAAGTTGTTATTAATAATTGTTTATAAAAACCAACGGTAGTAAATGGTTAAAGAAAGTGAACAATAATTCATCTAAAGTTTCATTTGACAGATATATCTCTTCTCGTAGAGATAGATCCTTTGAAAGCATTGGCTAATTCAAATTTACCTCTTGAAGTCTCATCACAAGCTTGCATTCAAACCTCAAAGCAACTTTAAGATGACCAAAGTCAAATTTTGACTGATATTTCATCCATTTATAAGTTTGACTTTCAAATTTAATAATGACTATAAGAGAGATTAGCAAGTTAGCATATATATGCTTGAAGAATTCTTCCGTCTTTGATTTGATATTATCAGCCCCTAAACATACAACTAAAGTCAATAATTTGGGTGAGTTGAGCTTATTCAAGCCAAATTATTTGAATCTAGCTTGAAGTATTTTACCCTCTTAAAAAAACCCACATAACAAGCTTGGCCCTAACATTTTTGGAGGTTTGGCCTGAATTACCAATTCTACATACAACCAAGGCAACATGATCTACAAAGCTAAAACAATTATTCTTGAAAAAAATGTAATTATTGGTCCTTATTATAACTTTATCATTTTTTATTACTGGTCCTATACTTTCTTTAGAAATAATATTTAAAATATACTTTGATGTTGATTTTTAAATTTTAAGACTCACAATTATTTTTAAATTGAGTCGTCTATAATTTTTAGCTAAAATATATTTTTAATCTTCTAAATTTTCAATTTGGTCCCTTAATTTTAAAAAGAGATATAATTTTAATTTTTAAAATATAGGATCCAATATTTTAAATGATTAACACTATAAAAACTAAGTTGTAAAAGTTAAAATTTAATAATTGAGTTATAACAGACTCAAAATTATAAAATCATTTGGAAATCATGCAAGCAAATTGATTGAAAAATGAGGATGATTTGTTAAGTCAAAAACAGTTTTTTTTTTTTGAGTGTAATTTCGCTCGACAACAATTTTTAAGGAAAAATTACATTAAGTCTCACGTAAAGAAATTAATTATTACAAGATTTATTGATAATTAAATTAAGATCATTGATAATTGATTGTATTATTAGTTATCTTAAATTAATTATTAATAAATTTTATAATAATCAATTTTTTTGTATAAGATCTGAATGTAATCCTCAGATTTTTTTAAAACAAACATCTGAATTTTTTTTATTGGGTTGGCCCGCTAGCTTCCGCATGTGTGGTCTGGGCTGGATATTCCAGCCCGTGTTTTGATATTTTTGTTTTGTTTTTGTTTTGTTTTTAACTGGCGAATCACCGTTCTTGGCTTCTGCTCTCGGCCCTCGTTCCAGTCGTCATTTGTGCTGCTTAGGAGTGTCTTCGTCCCTCTCAGTCGTCTCTCCATAATCTAATCCCTCACAGATCTCTCGCACCATGTGAACTCGCTGTCTCATACTCCGTCTTTTCCTAATAATTCATTGAATGATGTAATAGGTTTCTAGTTCTTTTTACTATTTCGTATTCAATCTTTTGGATAGTCGTTTTTGGGTTGAAGTGAAACACGAAAGATTTCAACCGCGTCAAATCAAAGAAATTAAACTACTCGAAAATGGTTTCTCTTCCTTCAAAATCACCCTGCACGGAGTTTGTCACTCCTCACATTAACAACCACCCTCTTCAACTTCAGCTCCTTCGTCCCACACAAAATCTGCCTCAAATTTCATCAGAATCTGTCCAACTCCTTCGTTCCCAACCTAATCCATCAAATGGGTTGTGTTTGCGGAAGAAGAAAACCAAGGAAAAAGAATTTATCCCTGCTCGGAGTACAACATCTGATGTTTTACGCTTGATGGATGGTCTTGGCTTCTCTGTATCCATTGACATCTACGTCTCTTTGATAGAAGAGTGTACTGTTTCTGGGGACCCTCGTACAGCGATGGAGCTACATGCCCATATCATCCGAAGCGGCATTGATCCTCCCTTAAGCTTCCTCAATCGGCTTCTCCTCATGTTTGCTTCATGTGGTTTGGTGGAGCGTGCTCGTAACCTGTTTGATAAAATGTCTGTGAGGGATATCAACTCGTGGGCAACCTTACTTGTTGCTTATTTTGATGATGCAGACTACGAGGGAGCCATATATTTGTTTCTCAACATGCTTGATCGAGTGAGTATTTCGGAACTGCCTAATTGGGTCATGGTTTGTCTTCTCAAGGCATGTGACTACAGCATGAATCTGGATCTGGGAAAACAAGTTCATGGGTGGTTGGTCAAGTTAGACATTAGTGATGATGTACTTCTAACTTGCTCATTGATCAGATTCTATGGGAAATTCAAGTGCCTAGAAGATGCAAATATTGCCTTCAACAAAGTAGCTAGACACAACACCTTCAGTTGGACAGCTAAAATTGTGAATGATTGCAGAGAAATGCATTTCTGTGAGGTTCTCAATGACTTCAAGAAAATGGGAAGGCAAGGAATAAGGAAGAACAGTTTCACAGTTTCCAGTGTTCTTAAAGCAAGCGGAAGAATGCCAAGTCATGAACATTGTGGTGAACAAGCACATGCTAGTGCCATCAAGCTTGGACTTGTGTCAGATGCTTATGTGGAGTGTGGGTTGATAGACATGTATGGAAGAACTGGGTTAGTGAGAGAAGCAAAACTTGTGTTTGAGATGATTCATAATAGAACAAACGTGGCTTGTTGGAATGCTATGCTTATGGGGTATATGCAAAATGGGCGGCACATTGAGGCTATTAAGCTTTTGTATCACATGAAGGCAGTTGGACTGCAGCCTCAAGAGTCTCTGCTCAAGGAATTAAGAATTGCTTGTGGTGGTTGTAAAGAAGTGGAATTCACATAGGCAGTTAAAAAAAAAGAAAAAGGATCTTATATGGAGAGTTATGTAGGTATCTTCGTTTGATATATTGATAATTAAAGGTTCATGAACGAAATGATAGAACTGCATTGATAAAAACATTGAAGGCATTAACTAAAAAGCCCATATGGATGAAATGGCTTGCTTCTTTTATATAAGCCCAACATAGAACATGTTTATTTATAATAGGCCCAAAGAATTACATCAAGTCTTGCTTAGCACAATTAATTACTCTCAAATCTATTGACAATTAAATTTAAGAGAATGTTAGACAAAAAAAATATATTATTAAATTATGTATATTTAATAAGAAAAATTTAAGAATTTATTAAATTTTTAAATATAATTAATAAATTTTAAGACTTTTCTTAATTTCAATAAAATATATTAAAAATAATTTATAAATAAAATTAAAAAAATATATGATAATTGACGAGGGTATTTATGAGTATAAATGGTCCCAATATCTCTAGCCCAAGGGAACACTTTTGAAGCGTTCTTATACCCACTCTAAAGCAGCTACATATGGAGAATTTTGGCAACCTTTTTATAAGTAAAATAATAAATGCTCCCATATATATATATATATATATATATATTTTGGGGTAGTAGTGTCATCATAAGATTCTTCCATTCTTATTTTCTCTTCTAGAAATCTTACTAATTATTTACAAAAACATAAATATTAAGGTGATACAGATCCCTTTGCAAAAACTATCCATTTGTCACATAGATTTTTATCTTTTATCTTTAGATTGTTAATCTATTTTCAAAAAGTTAAAATAATTGAACTTCCTTGACAAGCTCTCATATGTATTCTTAAGCAAAAAGGACTTATTGTGTTGAATTAAAGGATTAAACTCAACCATTTTACAAGAAATTATTTGTTGCAAATATAGCCTCTCAAGCGTTAAAATAGCTCGTTGTAATATTACCCCTTAACTAATGTCTGATGGACATTAACACTAATAATTAACTTTAAATTAATTTTAGGTTGAAAAGCATTTTTATTTTTGAAGTATTCATTAAAGAGTGACTAGCACTTTAAAATAGAGAAATTGTTACTGTTACTTTTTTCTCATCGAAACTAGTGGCATCATGTTTAACGTGTTACATGTTTTATTGATTATGTATTTAATGGTTAAAAAAAAAACTTATATATGTATATCTTGACTTTGATGGTATTGAGATACAAGTTTTGGTTAAAAAATATAAGGATGAAGTGGATGTCATTCATTGTGGTAAAAGAAGAAAAAATATTTTTCAACCCACTAACTGTTAGGACCATACAATAGAGGAGGCAAATTTATTTAAATATATATTAATAATTAAAAAATTAATTTTAAAAATTAATTAATAATTACATGTCTCATAAATTTTCTTTATGATAGTTTCATGTTCTGAAATTATTAAATAATTAGATCATTGTTATTTGAGACTCAAATAAGATTAGATTAACATTTAAAATATCATGACATAGGGAGTGCAAAATATAAAAACTTGTTCATTAATATGCTCACCTTTAGTTGCATGTGGCTCCACCATTGACACACACACACACGTATGTTTATCCTGGCTAGTTATGAGATTTGTTGATGAATATCTATATATAACTTATGATAATCTAAACAAATACGTCATGTGACCAAGGGTGGATCCATGTTGGACGTGGGTGGGACCTTGGCCTCCCAACCTCATGCACCTTTCATAGTAGCATGGAGAAGAAAATAGTTATTTCTGCCCTGAGGATGGGGGAAGGAGAGTTGTGAGGCTGAAGGAGGAAGAAGATGAAGGTGATATTGTGTGAGAGAGAAGAGAGGATCAGAGATGGCGAAGATAGTGAGATAGAACCCGTGGATGTGGGTGAGAATTGAGATTTGGAATAAATTTTTTATTATTTTATTTGTTATATATTTTTTAATATCAATTAATTTAATTCATATTCAATTAATATATTGAAAATATAAATTTTTAATTTATTATATATTCTCCTTGTCCCAACTTATAAAACACTTTTGAGGGAGATTTAGTAACTCAAAATATAAGACATTTTGATAAAAATAAATTTTCATTAATGATACTTTTTTAATATTATTATTTTCATTATATTCTCTCCATCCAGTATTCTTTCATAAATAAAGTATTAAATGAAGGATATTTTTAAAAATTTATATTTTTTTCAAAAAAGTAAAGTTGTAAATTATTTTTATTTAGTCCCTATTGTAGGGTGCATTTTAAAAGGATTATTTAGTTCTTAATATAAGACATTTGATGAGATATTAATATAGTTTTTTTAAATATTATTCATATTTAAACTCATTCATTATGAGAGAGAATATAATGCATGTTTGAAAAATTTTATTTAAATAGAAATAAAATTAAAAGTTTACCATATTTTTAGATAAAGTTAATAATTTAATCACATTTCTTTAATTTTGGTGAGATAGATGCGCATTATAACAGGAATTGGAAGGAATGATTAATTAACAAAAAATTCCCCCCCCAAAAAAAAATTTGAGATTGGGTTCGCCACTGCATGTGACAATATTGTTATAGATAATTGATCATTAGTACATTCTATTTTTTTTTAATGATAAATACACAGTTGACAAGTCATGTGACACCTTAAACATGATTTTGATATATTTCAATAAGAAAAATGTAAAAATGTTAATTGCTCCATATCATTATACTTTAGGGTAGTTGGCCACTTCTCTATGAATACTTTAAGGCAAAATGCTCCTTAACCTAAATTTAACCTGAAGTTAACGATAAATGTCAATGTCCATTCAGTGAAGGGACAACATTGTAGTTTAGAATAATTTTGATACTTGAAGGTTTAAATTGTTTCAATAAATAGTTTAGAATACCAAATGCTGTTATTGAAACAATTTAAAAAAAAATTGCCCCTTAACCATAAATTAAATTCACATGACTGGTTGGAAAAGTAAAGAAATTATGCGACTCATAGTTTCTGGATCTCGAACAGTATGGCCATCTCCATGCTGGTACATGCACAACGACATTCTTCCAAAGTTCATAGCAACTTGAATGAAACTATTCGAATAAGAAGAACTGCTGGCTTCCCTATTCATCTTCTTCCAAGTTTCAAAAATAATGGAATTTATATACTTACAAGCATCTGCTTCAGAAGATCCAGTTTCATTCATATAACACTCAATTGATTTAGGAATATCCCCAATCTCCTTTTCACGCTGAAAAAAAAGTGAAAGATTATTAAAAAAAAAAAGAGTAACGTACATATATTTCATGAATTTTTTGGTGCTTAATTAAATAATGGGATGGGTATTGTCATCATACCTTAGATGTTCCCAAAGTCATCGATAAGGCGTGAAATAATTGAGGAAGAATGAATAATTTTAGCATATTCTTCTAAGCAAACCATGTCATCTTTATTTTTTGAATTAGGAAGTGAAAAATATGCATGAACACGTAGGATTGATCCACTTATTGAAACCCTTGCATTTTCTAGGTACTCATGAAAGCTTGGTTGATAACCACTATACTTCCATTTTGCCTCAATGAGATAGGATTTACAAAGATCAACCCACTGAAAAAATTAAGTACCGCAATTAGTCCATAAAATTGAAGACACGCACGGATTAGTTAACAGGTTTTAATATAAGGTTGAAAGTTAATTTGTCTCATAAACTATAGGTTTGAGAGCCTGTAGGACCCTAAACTCATTTTTTTTTATAATGTTTTCCCTTAGCTTTTGAAAACGATATATATAATGCAATCTTTAATGTTAACAAAAATTAATTTTGACCGTTAGTTGAATAGAAAATGTTAGAAATGGACCAAGCAAATTATAAAAAAGGATCAAGAAAATTATAGAAAGGGACCACAAAAATTTTCTTGGTCCATTTTTGTAATCTTTAAAATCTTTTTCTATCATTTTCTAATCAAACTAACGGTTAAAGTTAATTTTATCTAAAAAAAATAGCCAAAGTTAATTTTTATCAATAGACAACATTATACAAAAAACGAGTTGAGAGTCTTAGACGCTTTTGAACATATATTTTAGGGCTCAAATTTCCATTTAACCCTTTATTATAAATTTTTAAAAAAATTATAGAGAATTATAGAAATGGACCAATGCAAATTATAGAAAGGATCAAGAAAATTACAGAAAGGGACCACAAAAATTGTCTTGTTCCATTTTTGTAATGTTTGAGATCTTTTTCTATTATTTTTTAATTAAACTAATGGTCAAAGTTAATTTTATCTAAAAAAAATGATCAAAGTTAATTTTTATCAACAAATAACATTAAACAAAAAATGAGTTGAGATTGTCTTAGACGCTCTTGGACATATATTTTAGGAGTCAAATTGCCATTTAACCCTTTGTTATAAATTAAAAAAAAAAGCCCAAAAACTAGCTAATAAACTATATCAATGCATACCCCTTTCTTAAGATGTGGAATAATCTTGCACTCATTCTCTTTAAGGAAGTCAAAAACAACTTCATTGACAGTGTTATAAAGTCCAAGGAGGCATATTTTCATGTACTCTGGAAGATTATCCATAGCATTTATATCCCATCTGCAGTAGAAAAAGTACAAAATGGAAAATATTAGAATAATTAGGGAACAATTAATTACTATAATTAAACACAAATGCTGACCTGTCAACCACTTCTGCGAAAAGTTTGAGCTCTTCCAAAGTGCCATAAACATCATAGATATCATCGCTTGTTGTTATCAATGCATTAATCTTTGTCATCACTCATCTAAAATATCCAAGCTGTGGTTCATGAGCAAAACCTATGATCCAAAAGAAGTTTTCCACCAACTTGTCCCTAGCGAACAAGGATAAGAATAGGCCAGACTTTTAACAGGAGCTTACATTATAGCCTACTTCAAACCTAACCTATTTATTAAATAGGCTCAGGTCAAGTTCAAGCTTTTAATTAGGCTTATTTAGTTTAATAGGTCAAGCTTATTTTTTCAAAGTCTAGCCTAGAGCCCAACAGGTCGGCCTATATATATATATATAATGTAATATATAACAAACACATTAATTTTACTATTTGATTTTTAATCAATTTGTTCCTTTTTA